ATGACACCAAGCTGTGTGGTTTGGTTGATACGCTGGAGGGAAGGAATGCCATCCAGAGGGACCTTGACACGCTTGTGAGGTGGGCTGATGCCAGCCTCATGAAGTTTAACCATGCCAAGTGCAAGGTCCTACACCTGGGTCAGAGCAACCCCAGGCACAGCTACAGGTTGGGCAGAGAAGAGATTCAGAGCAGCCCTGAGGATAAGGACTTGGGGGTGTTGGTCGATGAGAAAATGAACATGAGCCGGCTTCAGTGTGCGCTCGCAGCCCAGAAAGCCAACCGTATCCTGGGCTGCATTAGAAGGAGCGTGACCAGCAGGTCAAAGGAGGTGATCCTGCCCCTCTGCTCTGCTCTCGTGAGACCTCACCTGGAGTATTGTGTGCAGTTCTGGTGTCCTCAACATAAAAAGGACATGGAACTGTTGGAACAAGTCCAGAGGAGGGCCACAACGATGATCAGGGGACTGGAGCACCTCCCGTATGAAGATAGGCTGAGAAAGTTGGGGCTGTTGCGCCTGGAGAAGAGAAGGCTGCGTGGAGACCTCATTGCAGCCTTCCAGTATTTGAACGGGGCTTATAAAGATGCTGGGGAGGGACTTTTCATTAGGGACTGTAGTGATAGGACAAGGGGTAACAGGTTAAAACTTAAACAGGGGAAGATTAGATTGGATATAAGGAAGATGTTCTTTACTGTAAGGGTGGTGAGGCACTGGAATGGGTTGCCCAAGGAAGCTGTGAATGCTCCATCCCTGGCGGTGTTCAAGACCAGGTTGGACAGAGCCTTGGGTGATATGGTTTAGTGTGAGGTGTCCCTGCCCATGGCAGGGGGGGTGGAACTAGATGATCTTAAGGTCCTTTCCAACCCTAACTATTCTATGATTCTATGATTATTATAGAACTCCTTTTAGGAAATTCTAGATTAATCAGCAACTCTTGAAGCTTCAAGTTAAAGCCTTTTTTTTTCTTAGCATTATTTTTCTTTCAGTGCTTACATTTAGATAGAAAAAAAATTATTTGGCGGGCATACAGAAGGTCTTGAGTGGTTTAATTTTGAAAGCTGCTCAAAACCTTTCTCTTTTAATGATATCAGTAAAAATTCTATTTTTTAAGTGTTTGCAGGAAGCTTATACTTGCTGAAACTTAGACTTGATGAAAACACTTAAGAAATGGTAGTGACCAGCATTTTGTATTAGGAAAAAGTTGCTTGACTTATTGAGTAATTTGACTGGAATTTTTTTATAAAGGTAAAGAATGATGGTAAAAAATTGATGAAGCAGACCTCTCTAAGGCATTTGTCATGATGCCACCTGGCATTTTGATTAAATATCTAGAATGGTACGAAATTATCATGCCATATACGAAGAGTTTGAAAACTTACCTATCTGGCATGTTTAAAATAATTGTAAACGGGCAATCTGTATTAAGCAGGTGTGTTCCCAAAAAGGTCCTTAAAGTATTGATTCTTGGCCTTATGCCACCTAAAGTTTGTTTCAATGACTTGGAAGAAAACCAAGAACATAAAACATCATAAAGAACATAGAACATTATAAAGCTTGCAACAATTTTGTAAGAGGAAGTAATGAACATGTATCTTGGATGGTTAAGTTCATGCTACAGAGATATCTGAACTGTTTTTCAGAGTTAAGCAAACAACTTTTCAGCCCAGTCACATGTAAAGTTATTTTTCTAGGAAACAATCTATTACCCATCATTACAGAACAGTATTTCTGGTTGGGAAGCATTGTGATGGACTGTGAGCTGAATCTGATCTATGTCCATCCATGTCCAAAAGCACTAAGGAACCACTTAGATGAATAAATAGAAATCTTTAGAAGGGAAACTGTATTTCTTCTGTGGCAGCCACTGGTTTAGCCAAAATCCAAAACTTCCAGTGGGAATCTCCACTTCAAACTGCAAAGTTCCTTTATTCTGTCTGAAACAGATTTAGGTGAAAGTCACCTGACAAACAGCCATTTTACTGTATAAGCAATTATTTTAGTTCTGTTTCAGGGCTATGGTGACTTTTTTCTGAGTTGCATTCACAGACTGAAGTAATTTATTATGATGATCATCTATTACCTTGTGACAGGACAAAGGGAGTAGGAAATGTAAAGGATCTGAACACTGAGGAACAGGAGATATGCAATGTAGGGAGCATACTGGTAGGGTGGTGGAAAGAAAATAGGCTGGGAATTTTTCATCTTTCACTATGGAGAGGTATAATAGGATCTAATGTCTGCAGCGACTTGTAAACAAAGAACTGATGTTTTCCTAGGCAATATATTCCAGTTTAAACAAGAATTAATCCAAGAAAGTAATGTAATGTGCATTCTAAAGGAGATCAGAACAGATTATCACAATAGTCCATTCTGCTTTTATAATCTGGCCTTAAACACATAAGCATTTAAAAAATAAATCAAGATTGGACATGAAGCAGTACATGACCCTATTATTCTTTCACTGTTGCTTGGGGTGGAAGGTATATATGTTGGTTGATAATACCAAAACTGTAAGCAGTCTGAATAAAACAGTGCTATAATTATGATTTTTTTTCCCATCTAGTATGCATGATAACAGAAAACACTCTATATCTTTTTAAAAAGCAAATATGTAACTAAATACAAGTAAGAAAAAGCCATATGAATAAAGACTTTACCTGAAATTCCTTTCTTTATTCATTTAGATGTATTTGAATTTTATTTCTTTTTTTACCTAGGTTTTGAACCAACTTCTGTCTGTCAAAGTGTGTGCTAACTTCAAGCAGGATGCGGTCATCAATGGACTCAAGATAACAATGTTTTTGTGGGGAGAGAATATAATTGTAATATTCTTTATACTTGTATGGGCTTATAGAATAATTAAACCATCATGGCAATGTTCACTACTTGCAAAGACATTAATGATAATCACTGTATGCAAATAGCCAGTTTCTGAAAAAGGCAACTGTTTACAGGTCAGACCCATTCTGCAAACAACTTTCCATCTGCACAGTTTTACGCTCCTAATGCATGATGACAAAAACTTTTCATCTCTTTAGGTGTATTCAATAAAAAGAAGAGTAATTTCATCATGAAAGTCTGAAAGAATACCAAAAATATTCCAAGTGTCAAAAATACTGTATTTATTTGATTAGCGAGGCTTTCCTTTTCAAACTCCTCTAATAACTTCAACTTCTCTTATTATTGGACAGAAATTGATTATCTTTTCTCCTGTGGTTCTTCATGGCTTACATCATCCCACTTCTGATGTTTGTGTAACCATATAATTTCGTGCTTTCTTAGTGCAAAGAAAGCATTAAAAATAAATAAACAACCTTAAATCTGATATTTCCTAATGTCTGAATTCTTCATTTGTACTCTTAACTCTTTTAGCCTTACTTTTTATGTCTATCAGTTTCTTTTCTAAAAAGCAAACAGAAAAAAAAAAAGTCCATCAATTAAATTACAATGTTCTGTCAGTGGTCATTAGCAAGCCTGAGGTCTGCAACCCCATCCTCAGAGCTCCTCTGAGCTATCAAGGTCTGCCTGGTTCAGCCGTCCCACTCATACTCAGTCTCTTGGTTTAGGTGTTCCTTACTTTCCCTTCAAGTCTCTCCCTTTTTCCCACTCCTCCTACTCTGCATAGCTTCACCTCCTTGTGCAGCTCATTAAGTACAGATCTTCCTTTATTTACCAGTATCTTTAGCAAGTTTGCATAATTTGTCATTCTCTTTCAGTTCAGCCCTTCATCCTAGCTTCTTGTCTGCTTTCTCCACCTACCCTCTTTCACCAGGCAGCCCCATGTCTCCAGTGTCCCGAGGCTTCATCCCACCCTGCCCTCCATTTGTCAGCTGGCTGTAATTGGTCTATTGGCCCCATCAGTCCTGGTCATAATTTCTTTTATTACTTCTTCCTAAATCCTCAGTCTCACCAGATTCCTGCTTCCAGGATCTCCTTTGTCCTAGTCTGTTTACTGTCTTTTTCCATTCCTGTCAGACAAACCCTCCCACACTCCCCATCATGCTGCCTTCTTGCTGAGTAAAAGCTGAGTCCCTGAGGAATTTGGCTTTTGACTTTCTGTAACAACTGAAGTGGGGACTGGTGGGGGAAACCTGGAAGTCTAGAAAACGTACCAGCAGCCTCAGCTGTGATAAAAAAAAAAAGGAGAGTGAAGGAAAAGAAAAGCAACAGGGTGTTCTTGACAACAGAATCTGACCTAAAAACTAAGAAACAGTCTTTGAATTAACATTTCAGGAGCTGCTCCTACCTCTGTCACAGCCCTCACAAAATCTTGTCCAAGTCCCTTGGTGCCAGGTTCCTTAAGAAATGCACATATTCTCATGTACAACACGTTAATGCCAAGCTTTCAGGCCTTAGTACTTGCAACTCATTTTGGCTTTATAACCAGTACATTAGGAGAGATACTTCAGATACAAAGACAACTTGAATTTCAGAAGCATTCAGCATTTGAAAATTCAACCTATCTCTCAAAATATAAGGCCATTACTCAGTATATCTGTATGGTGATTTCATTATTGACAAAATAATAATTATGACTGTCTTGTGAGTATTGTAAAGCAAACTTCGCTAATGCTTTCCTAAAATCCCTCTACAGAAATAGTTTTATGAGTGCCAAGCACAACAATAATTATGAATGAGACACTTCTAAAAGAGAAAAAAAGACAACAAAAAGTATATCATGAATAGCTGTAAGTATCAATCCTTTAGTTGGATTGTTTGCCTGTCTCCTGTTTTAGAAACCCTGTTTACTGCTGTAGTTGAAAGCTGAAAAGCTGTGGCAGATAGCAGATGTACCAATTAATAACCTGTCAAGGCTGATGGATAGAATGAAAAGAAAATCTCACATACATCTCCTGTGTGGTTTTTTCCCCACATTTCAGGTCACTGGGGGTCATGAGAGACATTCTACCTCCCTGGAGAGAGATGAAACTGTCTCATTAGCGTCTATCTTCCATGACATTAAGATGCTGCCTTTGAGCTGCTGAGATGCTGCTAACTCACCTGTTCTTCTCCCAGAATCCTGAAGTGATGAAGCTCTTTAATCAGGGAGTCTGGACAGCCAGCTGTTAGAAAGAAACAAAAATACACATTTTAGAGCTTCCTGTCAGTGCAGTTTCAGCATAAGATACATAGATTCAGGAGGACAGAATATACAGATTACCTTAGATAAAGAAGATTAGAAAGATTAGCCATGGTTCTGTGGGCACCAGAATGCTGAAAAACATCTATCAAATAATCCTTCTACATTTCTGAGCATGCTACCAAGAACACACTTAGAAAGGTTATATTCAGAATATTTTAGCCCTTTCCCCAAAGAACTACAAACAAAAGCAAGATGAAAAGGGCAGCACTGTCTGCCAGATACTGCCAGCCCTTCAGTGTAAGCCAAAAAGTGTTAAAAAAGGATCTCATATCAAAATCTTGGAGCTGCTCAAAGCTGAATTCTGATTCACACATCAAGTCTGGACTCATTTCTAAGCATAATACAGGCTTTCCTTGATTCCCTGAAGGATTTCATAGGCTCCACAGATCACTTTAATTTTGGCTGTCACAAATACAACCCATTTCACAAATACGTTGTTGTTACCCACAGGTATAATATACAAACCAACTATGCAGGCAGGGGAGTGATTTGCCAGAATTTTGCAATGAGGTTAAGGTTTAATTACTACAGAGTCTTGCATCTGTACCAGTCAGTAAGAAAGAATATGTCTTGCTAGATACCATGCACTTTACTGACATGCTCAGACTGTGATTACCTTCCTGGTGATGAAATCCAGGGCTGCTACTCGCTTTTGTACACTACTAGACTCATGTCTGGCATGGGATAAAAGTGCAGACTGTGAAAGCTATCTGTGTTTTATTCTTCTTGCCATAAATTGAAGCATCTGCTTGTGAATAGATAAAATTCCTTAAAAGGAATTAAGAGCATAGCTCTCCCCAGAATATGGAAGGAACTATGATTTTTATCAACTTCCTTTCCTGCTGATGAAGCTACAAATAGTTACCTCTCACTCTAAATGACTGCCATTAAAAGGATGGAAATTAATTTGGAGGCAGTTGTCAGGAAATCTCCATCAGCACTGTGGCTTCACTCAAAGCCAATGAGGCATGGCCTACACTCATGAATTCTGTTGGCATAGCTGTCTCTTCACACAGGATACAAAGAGAATAGCCTTTATACTTGCAAGCAGCATAACTAAAAAGGGCAAAACCCCTAGTATAGACACAATTGTCAGAGAATCATAGAATCACAGAATGGTATGGGTTGGAAGGGACCTTAAAGCTCATCTAGTTCCAAATCGCCTTCCATGGGCAGAGGCACCTTGCACTAGACCAGGTTTTGCAAAGCCCCATCCAACCTGGCCTTGAACACTTCCAAGGATGAGGCATCCACAGCTTCTCTGGGCAACCTGTTCCAGTGACTCACCACCCTCATAGTAAAGAACTTCTTAACATCTAATCTAATTCTCCCCTCTTTCAGTTTAAAGCCATTACCCCTTATCCTATCACTGCATGCCCTTGTGAGAAGTCCATCTCCAGCTTTCTCCTAGGCCCTCTTTAGGTACTGGAAGGCTGCTCTGAGTTCTAAGACAAATCTCCTACTAGTATAACTTCAGATACTTAGAGAATTGATTTAAATTATATTAGGATCACCTTATTGCTGGTAAATGCTTTATCTCCATTCAGAGGAGGTATGAGTGGAGAATGAACCATCAACACAACTTCATATTATCCAGCTATGCATAATTTTTCTGTCCATTTTCACTGGGATTTACATCTTCATCTTCCAGCTCATCTGAACCCTGAATGTATCTCTGCCTCACTAACTTCTTGACCTGATTTGTAGCCCAGAAATGTTGACTTCTCTGTGTTTCAGATTAGAACTCACTGCATAAAGCATAGGCCCTCCCTCCTAACCTCAAGCCCTTATGTAATTAATAAATTACATGTCATTTTCTCTGAAAGTATCTTCATTGACTCTACACTGCTTTAGGTATTTCTATGTGTAGAGGATAATTATGAGTTCATGTAACACGGTGTTAATCTTTGTTGGATATTAGCTTTGTAACGCCAACTACACATTGCTTTCTGCTTTTCTGTGCTTTTTGCAGTCTTCACAGCTTCTTCTTCAACCAATCATTTCTTTCTTCCCTCTTATCCTTTCCAATTTATTATTTACTATATCGCTTAAGATGGGAATGTTTCCTTTCTCTTGCTATCTTTTTCTTTTACCATTCTATTTCCTGAATGCCTGTTTCTCCCAGAAATCCATCCCATTCTGCCCTCATGCATAATTTATATAATCTCTCTTATGTGAACTGCTTATATGCATTCTCTCTTTCTTCCACACTCTGGAACCAAGGATCATTGTGAAAAAGTGTGAAGATATATATAGACATCTATATATAAACATGTATATGTTTATTTGAAGTATACTAGTTGTTCATTGCTGGATCCTCTTCGCAATACAGTATTTTGTATAGTCTATTTTTCAAATACTTGCCAATCTATTTTTCAGTCTTTTCATAGTACAGACCTTCACTGGATCTTGAAAGCTGATTATAGAAGAGATCCTGAAATTACTAGCAAAGGAGAAAAGAATGCTTAAAAAACATGACGCTGTTGGCATGATGCTTTCCAGCAAGAATAAGTTCAGAAATGTCAAATGTGTGTAATATTGGATTACACTGGCACACATGAAGAGTCTGCTGTCTGTAAGAAGTCCTTTCAGGTCTTCACACTGCAGAATCAATAATTTGCGGAAACAATGGAAATTATTGTTGTCAAACAATAATTTGAGGGGGAAAAAGGAAATAAAGTAGAAACATGGAAAACAAAAAAGGAACTGAGATGGAAATATCTTCCTTTCTTTTTGGATATTCATGGATTTATTTCTGATATTTCCTATTCCTACTTTAATTTCTTCTGTTTTGCAAGTGGAACTTTGTAAAACATGCTCCAATGCTTTGACCCGTTTTTACCAGCTATTTGGGAGTCTTGGATGATGTTGAATTCTTGCACTGTCATTAGAAACAAATGCTATAACAAATAGCCATTCCATTTATAAAAAGGAGATTAAAAAATACCTATTCTTGTAAAAAGCATTAAGAACTATTTGTTATCTCATCCACAAAGCTACCCATATATGTATCTCAGTATTCATCTATACATAAACACATGTGATGACTTGAAAAATATTACAAGTTAAGCACCAGACTCCAGTGGGTTCACTGGCAAACTGTGCATAGCAAAGTTTAAAAGAAAAATGTATTTTCTAAGACTCTGATGTGCAGATAACACATGCCACATGAAATAAATAATCTGCACTTTATAGATTTCTGCTATTTTGTGTAGAATGTTTTAAGGATTAGGTTTTATGCCCCCTATAGTACAGAAGCCCTTATAATCAATGGTCTCAGCAGTCACTGAATCTTTCTGTTTCCTTCTTCTCAATTATTACTTGAAAAAGTACAGGTATACATAAAATTTCCACAGACATAAACCGAACCATAGGAATATTAAATAAATCAATCAATGACAATTACACATAGGAGTGTTAAAAGGAAATGATGTAAAACCATGAATAATTGCCTTTAATCAGAAGCCAAAATTTAGGATTGAGGACATCCGCAGACTGATAAAAAGGCAACTAAACTGTTTATTAGTTCCTTCTTTCAAGTCACATTCAAACCTATGTGTTTCATATGTTCTCACTATAACAACTGTTAGAAGCTTTTGCTAACTGTGAAGGCAGAGCAAGATGTAGAAAATATAAAATTGATGCAAATCTGTAGTATATTCATACCATTTTTTACTCTGAGATATAGCCATTGTCCTCAAAGCAATAAGACCCATAAAACTAATGTGATGTCTTAGGAATGAGCCTGAGTCTAACCAGGAAACTAAGTTATGAAGGGATGATATCCAGTTCATAGCATCAGCAGCTTTATAAACTCATCACAAGTAATTTCTTTGCTTCCTATCTAAGCATTTATTACTTAAATTAAATTTAAGCATATTGTTTGCTTCTAAATGTTCCATCATACCCCAGATTACTTGAATAATTTTGTTGTTGCTAAATTCTCATATTGCTTTAACTCCAAATGCTGCACTTATGAATAAAAAGTACATACAAAGTTACAGAAATTTTCAATTGTAAATTTACAGTTTACATTGTGGTATTCTCATCATAAATGTATAAAGATATTTTTAACCTGTTCATATATGTATCTCCAAGAGAAGAATAAAGAAGCAAAATTTAGGAAGGACAGTTTTATGTCTTCTAATATCATAAATCCCCTGACTTCAACTGGTCTGAACACACATTTTCAGCTTCACTTGTAATTAAACTGTGATTCTAACTACTACCAATTTAATTACCCAAGTCTTCACATATTTTTTCTCAGACAGAATTAGCTTCTGGTTTTGTTTTTGCTCAAAATTATCACTTTGCATTACTTACATTCTCCAGTGAGAAGGCAAAGGAAAAATTAAATCAACCCTTTAATATTGCATAAACTGGCAAAATGAAACAAAAAAAATTACTGCTGTTACAAACAGAGCCAACTGAGAACCAGTGGAAGTGCCAGGGCCCTGATGGCACCACCAGCCCTGACTGTCCATGCCCAGCCCCTCTGGGATCCCCACAGCCCAAGACCCCATGTTAGCATCTTGGGCCATCAGCCCCAGTGATGCTGCAGCAGGGCTGGTCTCCATCTCCCCACAGCCCTGGACAGCCAAGCCATGGGCCTTCCTGAGCCACGTCCATCTGCAGTATGACATTCAGGCTTGGCCTCAGCTCATCCCCATCCCCAGGCAGGTGCTCAATGCCCACAGCTAGGACAGCCCTCGTTCCTCCAGCTGCCTACTCCTGGCTGGTGATGGGAAGGACCCTGGCCAAATTTTAGCCTCAGAGAATCACAGAAAAATTATACAATATCTTCACTGACTGTAGTTACAAGCACTTATATGTCTACTGTAGGACTGTGTGCTACATCTTCTACTATCATTTGGCATTACTTTCTCTTTGCATTTAAATTTCATCTTTCTATCTAAATTG